GACCAGGCTTCAGGGCAAACACCAAGCAAAGTCACCAGATGCGGATGTTGTAATTTGCTGAGAAGTTGAGCCTGCACCCACAAATACACAAACTATTATTACACAGAAATTACAACTCTAGACTAGTAGGCTATATGAAATGACAAATTCAAACTCCGACTAGTTGCCAGTCTACTGAAAGGCAGAGAAATTATACAAATTTGGCTACACATTGAAGACTAAATTAACCCTCGCACATCTGTGGGAGAGAGGGAAAGAAAGAGTTCGCAATTGCTGAAGCAGTGGCCCAGAAGGGAATCAATAGAAACCTGTTTTTATTGTGCCAGGAAAAACAACTATATAGAGAGAGAGATGCCAACCTCCTGTTGAAACTCTGACTGCCCTTGCGTGTTATGTGGATACAGCTTCTTTATAGCAACAGTTCTACCCAGCATTTCCCCCTTGTAAACACAACCATGTCCTCCCTTTCCAAGTGTAAAGCTCTCAGAAAAATTGCATGTTGCAGTTTGGACATCTGCCAATGAAAATTCAGCTAACTCAGGCAAATCTTCAACAAGCCCAATGAAACCATTACAAGTTGTGACTCCAGCTTGCCCATGACTTCTCCAACGTTCTAACCAGCGCACAGCTTCCATTTTTTGCTGTCTGATTCTCTGCTTTTCCTGTCGCAAAGTTGCAATAGATGCTTGGATGAGTTTCAATTCTCCAGCAACTTCATCATGCCTACGATTTGCTTCTTGTGCACGACTGTTTAGGAGAGCAACATTTCTCATGGTCTTCTGAAGCTCTACTGTTACTTCTTGTTTCTCATTAATGAGCTTTTCTTGTTCTTGCAGGGTGGTTCTAAGGGCTTCCTCAGCTTCCTTTCTAAGTTTAACTTCACGAACACGGGTAGATTCAAAATCTTTGAGCTGAAAAATAATCAGATCTCCAAACTTTAGAACACCCAACAGAATCCAAAACTTTAACCATACTCATAGTACCTTCCCTACCATCATGTGTTGCAACTAACTAGAATCCAGTAAGTATTGTGTAAACAAATTGGCTAATATTTTACATCAACATTCGTTTTATATTCTAGCTAATACTTTTCCTTTCATTGCTGAAAGACAGCAGAAAAGAGACCTGGAACATGCTAACATGCTGGGATAAAAGGCTGCATTCTCATTCCAAGTTCTCTTTACTCTCAATTTAAATCTATTAATACCATAATATGAAACTACAATGGTGCAAGTGATATGTGCTGCAAAATATGCCATAAATTCACCAGTTTGATTAAAATGATGAACTGCAAGATACACAGACCAAAGTCTCTCTAACGGAGTGTGGATACCTACCTTATTGATAGCTTCCATAGCTTCTGATTCCAATTCTTGGCATTTCAATGACTCTGCTAATGCTTCATTCCTGGACGCTTCAGCTTCCATACTTGCTTCTCTGAGCCGACTGTATAGACTTTCCTCCTCATCCTTTGAATAAGAATCTAAAGACAATCTCGTTTCGGAAGAAGCACATTCTGAGCCAGTGTTTGTACAACTTGAGCTAGACAAACTCTGATAGTAGGGGCGGGGAAATTTAGTGGCAAGACTAGATAATGTGGGTGACACAGACACATCCTTATGAGCTGGTTCAGTCTCAGTCAATTGGGCAGTTCCAACAAATGGTATATTTCTAGAAGATTTGGAATGAATGTTTTCAGGGTGGACTAAAGAATCACACTTAGTATGTGGCAGTGAGTTAGACCTCAGTATTTGTGCAATAGCAGGTTTGGCTTGACCAACTGGTGGCAAAGAACTTGGCTCTTCAGAGGCTTCCCTCATCCAGACAAGTTTCCCTTTGTTGACAAACCATATATCACAGAAGCAGGGAGCATTTCTGGCAGCATAACTTGCTTTGCTGGAGTTTTTTTTAATCCTCATGCAACTGTATTAAACCATTAGGATACTAATCAAGGATACCCGAAAAAAAAGCACTACAAATAATTTTAAGGTGAAAAATGAAGGAGGACAGATCTAAAACACAAGGCTGAAGATTATTCTTAAGCACACAACAGGAACAAAACTAAAGCAATCTATTATTTGATTCCAAAAGGGAGGAGACATGAAATGATCGCTAAACACTTCCTATATTAAACTTAGCATGCAGTATTGAAGTTCTATAGTTTCTACTGCTAAAAAGTAGAACAAGAAAAAAGGAATTATGAAAAAACAATACAAAATGCAGAAAAAGTAAGTGTCTTGGATTTTTTTTTAAAAAAAAGAAAAGCAGACATAATTTGCAACGTTCCAAAACGGAAAGATGAACATTCAATTTTTGACAGAAGGAGTACTTACTTTTCTGGTATGGTACCCATAACAAGGTTCCTGATAGTGTGTCTGTTAACCAGTTCTACAATTCCTTTATGAACCTGGTCAGCTTCAATTGTGATAATGCTTGTCTTCACCTGCAAAGTGAATTCTTTGTAGATGAGGCCAATAAATCATGGAACACAGCAAAGATATCTGAATTTCCTTTATAAGATTCAACCTATAATCATGTGAGACTGACAGATAAAAGAAAGTTCTGGTGAAGCAAAAATATCTACATTATTTATGCCTAAGTCCCATCTCTGGTGCTTATGACATGTCATAAACTACAGATTGTGGGCTCCAATTTACCTTAATGTAGGCAGATATTAAAAAATTTCCTCGCCCAGCACAGAAAGAGATACTGCACCTTTAATTTGCGACAAAAACTTGAGTAATGTTCTAAAAGCTTTCTCAACTCTTCCTTCTCTTCCCTTCTATATGCAGAAACGACTTCACCATTGGCTTGACTTGCCGGAAGTTTCCCCACTGCCATATTATGACCATCAATAACATAAAATTAACAACTTTACATGTAACAAGTTACTCGTTAGACTGCCTGAAAAAGGAGATCTGAATTCCAAATCCAACAAATTCCATGGATTACATTTGGTTTAAGAGCAATACCCAGAAGTTAAACGAAAAATTACTTAAGTTCAGCTCAAAATAGTCCATTCTACTTATACATTAACAACTTCCTTATTGCCTTTGAGAACTCATTCCTTCTTCTTGGCGGGTCAGATTCTATATTTGTTTTTATTTTTCTTAATTAAAATAACAAACAGAAAGAAAACCCCCTACATATTTGAAGAAAACAAAGATCTTCACCAAAGACATACCATAAAACATAAAAAGAAGAAAAACTTAAAACACCCATTAACTAACTATGCTTAACCAAGTCATGTAATACAAAATTCTAACCAGACAGACAGACAGAAAGAGAGAGAGTATTTACATAAAGTAGGGATCAGTGGCGAAGGCTGGTGAACATGAAGCAAACAAATATCTTTACCGCCAAACCGCCTCAACGTCCAACGTAACAAATTAACCGCTTTCCCAACAGACTTTCCCACCGCAACAAAAACTTTGTCTTTTTCCCCAGCGCCACCGCCACCAGCTTCCTCTGCTATTTCTGGCAACTGGGTGCTCCCCGGACGATCAACTTGGCGCCTGAAACACAACCCCGAAATGGGGTCTCGAGTCGGGTCCTGGTGAGGCGGGTGGGCTGGGTTTAGGAGCTCCATTCTGTTTTTTTTTTTTTCTTGTTCTTTTTCACTCTGTTTCTTCAAAAGAGTCCTGTCATTTTACTATGTTTTCGTAATTGAGATGAAGAAAGTGAGACGTTTTTGAACGTTTTGGACGGAATTAAAAGGATTCCATTTGTAGGTTATTGCTTCCGCGAAAGTATGGTGGAGGGCTTGACTTTTGTGTTGACTTTGATTACGGAAACAAAAACACAGAGGATTGGTTGGACTAAGAAGAAAATTTGTCTTGAATTATTGAGGTGAAGGAATATTTGAATCGCGGCAACTTGGGAAGTGTCTGCCTCTGCCTCTTTGGTTATAATAAGGCTTCACCAGCTGTTTTCTTCTCTCCTTTCCTTCTGAATAAAAGGTCAAATTAAATTAAAAATGTTTTTTGTGTTAAATAAGTGAAATGACACCAAAAAAAACTTTAATTTTAATTGTAAATTTTTTATTTATTCAATTTTTTTTGATTTGTTTAATTGGCATTTTTATATTTTTTGTATTTTATTATTTTTTAACAAAAATATAAGAATAATAATATCAACTAAACGAATATGTTTTTAAAACTCTAAAAACATGTATATTATACCAAACTGAAATGTTTTTTAAAAATTATTAAGACAGCATGAATCTCATATTAATAAGAGATAAAATGAATTTTCAACTTATAAGTAAGAGTGTTACTTTACTTGATAAATAAATTTTTTGAATTAAAAATATAAACTTGTGTTAAAAAAGTTTGATTTTATGTTTATAATTATTTTTTTCTTGATTCGATATTTTTGAGTAATTTTTTAGTTAATGATTTGATTTTTTTTTCTTTTTTCTTTAATCGGTTTGATATTGTTTTAAATTTAATTCGATGGGTACCTCTTTCTTAGTTTAATTATAAAAAAGCATCTAAAAAATAAATTATATATAAGCAAGCAAAACAATTACCTACCCATGCATCCACAAGATATAATTAAAAATTAATCTCCTTTCACTAATGAAGCAGGTGAGTGATGCAAACTTACTTAAAAGAAAAATGAGCTGGACTGAAAATGACACCAGCTAACACAGAAATAAAATGGAAAACTTAAAGCAGCGTTTGGATGATTAAATGATCTAAACTCTGAGAGCAATAAATATTTCTTCATTAACATGAATAATATGAAGGAGTGAAGGTCAATTTCTAAGTCCTACTAAGTCTTGTCAAATTGTCCCTTCTGTTTTAAATTGGCATATAGTATTTAATTTTTGAAGGGGCTGAGGATACATTGGGCAAATGATCAGGGAACCCAGCCTAGGGAAAGAGGTCAAATTTGAACCTGTAGAGACAGGGTATTCCAGATCCTATAATAGAAAAAAGGGTCCAAACAAGAATTCCCAGTGACTTTTCAAGTATGTATCAGGATTCAGGAGACAATGGAAAAAGCTAGAGAATTGACCATAAATCACAAATATAAATGAATGAATTTGAACTCTATCATCGTCTGCACCGTCTCTTAGTTCATTGTCACGACAATATGAACATTAAGAAAAGAAGAGAAACTGCAAAAACTTAAAAATGGAAAAACTTTTTAAGAGAAACAGAATAGATCAAAAACTTGCGAGCTGAAATTGTTTTGGCAAAAAACAGGACATTGCTTTTACGCCTCCTCCTCCATTCTGATGAATTAGAAGCACTTCCTGTGAACGATAGATGGGCCAGATTCATCATACTCTGCCTTGGCAATCCACATCTGCATTCCAATCACAGTCAAGTAAACTTCGTTAGTATGGGTATGAAGCTTACTAAATCAACGATAAGAAGAGAGAAGGTAAATATACGAATCCTGTTCAGTTCAAATGTGCAATTAACCAAACTATTTCCAGAAAAGTGCCTTCTGTGAAGCAGGAGAAGCTAATTTGCTCAATCTAGGACTCAGTTATCATGGAGAAAAATACTAAAAATAAAAAAGGTATGTTCTAAATTTCCTTCTCCATAATGAAAACGTAAAGCAATTATATATATAAATGGGAAAAGTATGGACTCCGTTATGCGAATAAAATTGTCAATTATCATCATCAGAAGTAGATAATACCTGCTGGAAAGTACTGAGAGATGCCAAGATGGAACCTCCAATCCAAACACTGTATTTCCTTTCAGGTGGAGCCACCACCTTAATTTTCATGCTGCTTGGGGCCAAGGCAGTGATTTCCTTGCTCATTCTGTCAGCAATTCCTGGGAACATGGTAGTTCCACCACTCAGAACAATATTTCCATACAAATCCTTCCTGATATCGACATCACACTTCATGATAGAGTTGTATGTGGTTTCGTGAATGCCAGCAGCTTCCATTCCGATCATGGAAGGCTGGAAAAGGACTTCTGGGCATCGGAAACGCTCAGCACCAATGGTGATCACCTGACCATCAGGCAACTCATAGCTCTTCTCAATGGAAGAACTAGTTTTGGCAGTTTCGAGCTCTTGCTCATAGTCAAGTGCAATATATGCCAACTTCTCTTTCATGTCCCTCACAATTTCACGCTCAGCTGTAGTGGTGAATGAATAACCACGCTCAGTCAAGATTTTCATAAGGGCATCAGTAAGGTCACGACCTGCTAGGTCAAGACGGAGGATGGCATGTGGGAGGGCATATCCTTCATAAATGGGGACAGTGTGGCTCACACCATCTCCAGAGTCCAGAACAATACCTACATAAAGTAGTGTAGAGAACAGTTAGCAGATGAACAATGAGCAGACTAAACGTAAATTACAAAGATACTGATCCTACTATCTAACTAAAAGTTCTAGGTATTGTATCAGGAAGACTTTTAACTCATTATGAAATTACTGAATAAGCACAAAATCAATAGAAACAAGACAATGGGGTGAAATGGCAACCAAGTTGAGGTCACTTCACATTTCTCCCTAATTAATCCACAAACAAAATCCTTCAAGATGTGAAGATGTCCTGAACCAAAGGGCAAATTTTGACTTTGAGTTTGGTTAACTTTAATCCATGAGATTGAGGGTAGTCAATTGCTTACCAGTTGTACGACCACTTGCATAGAGGGAAAGAACAGCCTGGATAGCAACATACATTGCAGGAGTATTGAAGGTCTCAAACATGATTTGGGTCATTTTCTCGCGATTGGCTTTTGGGTTGAGAGGTGCCTCAGTGAGAAGAACAGGGTGTTCTTCTGGTGCCACACGGAGTTCGTTGTAGAAGGTATGATGCCAGATCTTTTCCATATCGTCCCAGTTGCTAACAATACCATGTTCAATTGGGTACTTAAGAGTCAGAATACCACGCTTGGACTGAGCCTCATCCCCAACATATGCATCTTTTTGACCCATGCCAACCATCACACCAGTGTGACGTGGACGACCGACGATGCTAGGAAACACGGCCCTTGGAGCATCATCACCAGCAAATCCAGCCTAAACAGAGGGAAATATATCATTGGCAAAGACCATACAAACCTAAAACAAAAGACTTAGAACACCAGATCACTCACAAATACATGAAGGAAAGAATATCCTAAATTGATACCTTAACCATTCCAGTTCCATTATCGCAGACAAGTGGCTGAATATCCTCGCCATCTGCCATCTTGTATCACCAGCTGAAACAAAATGTCAGAACTAGATCAACATCACAGGTCACAACAATAATGGAAGCAGCCCACAACTCAACAAGCATGATTTGAATCATTTATGAACCAAGATATACAACAAAAACATCCCCATTCCCCGAGAATTTTGAAAGATAAATGCAAAATAAAATGTGCGACAAAATTCCTAGTCCACAATAAATAATCCATCAGAAACAATTTGTTTAAAAAAAAATCCTATCATTAGATTAGAGCACGGAATCCTTTCATATCATCATATATTCTCATTTTCTAATGATTTTGATTGATAAAAAATAAGAAACCCAAAAAGAAAAAGAGAAAGCTAATTCATGCAAATTAACGAACATGAAATCCTAACTCACCCTAGATCCAATCATTAGAAGCTAGAGAATCATAAAATTATACAAAGATTCCCAACAAGAACCATTAATCAACTAAACCAAGAACAAATGCAAAAATTTCCCACAAAATTATCACAATGCCAATCAAAATCAGATCGAAGGTCAACAATTTGTGCAATTATATAACAAAACGGGAATCTGGAAATTTTCATTTCTGGTCTTCTTCTTCCTCCTACATTTTCTCAGGAAACAAACAGAACTGAAAGAGAAATCACCAGCGGGAAAAGCAAAAGGAAAAAACCAGGGAAAGATGGAATCAGCTACCCGCCCTTTGGGTTCCAAAAGAAAATGAAAATGGTAAGTCAGAAATGATAAACTTTTTCAAATTTAAAACGCGAATGGAAAACTTTTTAGCTGTTTTTAAACTTTTTACCGGGTCCTTCGGCTGCAAGCTCCCTGAAGGCTAAGGAGCGCTTCAACAGCGCTCGGAACCGGTAAAACCGGTTTCCCATCCATCTTCACAAAAATGAAAAGAAAAGGTACATATACTATATATATGCCTTGAATTAATATTAGCAAATATAAATAAAATTAATACTCTTTCAGTTCTAAATTAAATACTTACTTTCCATATACATGCAAAGCTATAAGAACAAGAATTTTATTCCTTACTTTACTCATTTTGTCTTTACAGTGACAGAAGAGGTTTAGTAATCTTATCTAAAACTAATATTTCAATTAATGATAACATTGAAAAAATGTATTTTATTTTAAAATATCTTAAAATAATAAAATATTTGTTCTATTTAGAAATGATGGAATAATATTGTACTTGAAATTCAAAACAATCGATTTGTATATAAATATAATTATTGTTTCTAGTGTCTTGTGTTTTTTATCATATAATATAAATTTTTTGGAGCATATAAATTAATTTGTAACAATCAGTTTTCAAGCATTATTAATTCAGTAATTTTCCAGCCTAAATCATGTGACATTTAAAGATTTAAATTGAAGTTATTAATAATGATATACTTATACTCTTATATAGATTTTAATAATAACTTTCACATTCAATTGGGATATGATATCACAAAATAAATTTTTTTATTACATTCATTTACACGAATTATTCACTCTTAATAAGGAATTTTTGAGATCCATTAAAATTTTTATGTAGAATTCACACTCATAAGTGGTTAATCGATAAATAATTTATAATTATAGTTAAGTAATTATAGAATTATAGATTTATAATTGATATAATCCCAATTACTTTTTATGTGTTTGCCATTTCAAGTTCAGAGTTTAACACCCGTAGTGCTCCCTAAGCAGTTTTAATTTTAAAATCTTACGTTAAATTATCGTGGAGTCTTTGTGAGATAAGAGATGATCTATACATTCAGGCATACAATACAAGCTTTGTTTTTCAGAGTAACAAAAAACAAAAGCCCAAACCCACCAAATCTGCAAACTGGATTTGAAGTTTAAGTGCCCCTCGAGCCTTGGCCTCAAAGAAACATCGACTCCCTGAGCATTTGGGAGCAGCGACCAAGAGCCCCACGGCTAGGTACACGTTTTATGGTCATGGAGATGAGTCCGAGTCCTCCTTCCAAACCGCTTGACCCGCAACTGCAAAGTACTGTTTGCTTTGCTTCACGATGAGTAATACTGTTTCAGAATTTTTTTTTTCCAAGACTCCTTCAAAATAAATTAAAAATACATAGTAATTTATATAACTTTTTGACATTTATCTTGGGGAGATCGGTTAAAAATCAATATATATTGAACTGGAAATAATTCTATTGTATTTAGTTTTTTCATAGAAAGCTTTATTCTCTTAACTAAATAGAATGTTAGTGTGGTTAAGTAATAAATAATATTTTGCAAATAAAAAAGATTCATCCATAGGCTTTTTACGCATTTTAACGGTTTACTTAAATTTCTAAAAAAGAGAAAGAAATTTATAAAATATATAAAAAAAAATGACTTCCCTATATATGAATCAAAATTAATTTGCGAAAAAGATTGCCTCTTCCTCGTGTATGCCACATTATTGATTCAGCAAAGTTTGCTAATAATATCATGACTTCAGATAGTTGGGGAATTGATTTGATAATAATAACCCAATATAATGGAATCATTAGTTAGGAAACTAAATTGATAAATTCTATATATGGACCACCAAAAAGAAAAAAAATATAAATATATTTTAAAGGTCCTACAAACATTCTTAATTTTTTTTTATTAGTTAGTCTCATGAAACAAAATAAATATTACTATTAAATCTGTAACGAAATAATAGTTCGAGTACTTAAAAAGAATTAGAATATTTTAACTCGAAAAGAAAAAGGAAAAAAAACTTTTAGGGTGTACACAACATATATAAATATATATTCTTTTTCTTTTCAATGACTTGGTGAATTAATTATCTCATGAAACAAAACCCTACCACCGCCGATCCGATGTTGGAGAAAAAGGAAGGAATTATTGGCGGGAAAGAAAAAAAGAAAGAAAGAAGAAGCAAAGGCATACGGAAAGCAGAAGCAAAGAGGGAGAGAGAGTTGGGAATTGGGTGGGGAGATTGATTGTTGGGAGATGGGGACATGATGATCGAAGATGGGAAGCAAAATCATTAAGCATGAGCATGAGCTGCAATTATGTGGCAAGAGAGTGTGCGTTTCTCACTTTTATCTATATACCCAACATACCCCACTTTTTTTATTATTTTCTTTTTTAATCAATTAAATTCATTTTTAAATTACTTTCTAATCTCTAGCCATTCCCATATATTTTGTATATAACTTTGGAGTTTTTTTTTTTTTTTAGTATTTTACCTCTCACGATTCTCTAATGTTTGCTTTATCTTTTCATCATATGAACCTGACATGTGTGTTCAAGTAGGATTGATTTGTATTATGGTTTTTAATTATGTTGATCAGATTAATGCGTCATCTAATCATGTATTTTAGCTTATCAAAAAAATAAAGATTAATGCTTCATCTTTTTTTCTTTGGAGGAAAATGCTTCATCGATTTAATTATTTCATGATTAGGCTAATGTATTTTTCACATTTTCTTACAAAATTATATCCCTAAAATCCGTTAATTATATGCATGTTATTCGATAAATCTTAATATTCCAAGAGGTAAAAAGAAAAAAAGAAAATTGAATTTCATCAAATTGGCGGGCACTAATTAATTATAGGTTAATGGGTAAAATTAACATTTTGTTCGTATATTGGAACTGTGTGCAAAGGTTAAAGTTAAATACAGGAGGGGTAAAAAATAAAAATAAACGAGAAAATCATGCACTTAAAAAAAATGGTGGGAGGCCTCAAAGCCTTTCCCAAGTTTGGATGCCCTTTTATCTTTTTGTGTTGCGGTGAAATCCAAGCAATCCGATTGGGTCCCCCACCCTCTCCCTCAAGTTCATATCGTGATATTCTCATATCAAGATGTATACTAATCTATATGTTTATATTCCTTAATTTTGATCATAGTAATTTCAAGATTTATATTAATATTATCATTGCGTTATCTTAATATTGAACCGTCAAAGTTAATCTTCCCAAAATGGGAAAGCTCGAAACAAATAAATATTAATAATTGATTAATTAATTTCATTGATAAAATGTTAGAAGAGCAAAATGGAAAGCCATCTCCCTCTCCCTCTCCCCGCAGTCTCCTGCATATCCAACGCAGGAATCCTAAGCCTAAGGCAAAAGGCTTATACCCAGCATGAAAATGGCCTGCAGTGGGACCAATGTGGAAACATGCAGCCGAGGGCAGCTTTCTAGTGCAAAAATATATAAGGCTTGAATTAATTACTAAAATAATATATACTAGCATGATGGGATCTGGGGTATATATGGTTTTGGGGAATCATTACACCTTGTTTGCTTGCTTGTCTTATAACCATTTCCAATCTCTTTAATTAAGCCAGAAGTCAATGACATTTCTACTTGACTTTCACTTATTAATTATCATTTGATAGTGTAAGAAAGACTTGTGAGAAATTGGGTGAAAATTATGATAAGATTGTGTAAAGATAGTATCCAGTTTTTGGATTTCTCTTGTATATAATTTTGAGAAACACATTGCTGTTGTGATTGGGATCAATCATGCATCATCTCATGCCCTTGTTATATCAATCATGCAGTTTTCTGTTGTCCTCCTGACTCTCCAATTATGACTAGTGATTAAGATGAGGCCATTAAGAAAGCAAAGTAAAATCAAAGGCAATGATATTGTAGGAGAATTTTCTCAGGTTTCCTTGACAATCATTTAGAACCCATTGATCCTGGCAGTCTCCTTGGAAGAGATCCAAAGCAGCAGCAACAACAATTGTCAAGGAGTGGAGCTCGGCATGGCCTACAAGGCCTAAACCAGACACCCGACAATGTCTCCTTGCGGCCGATGCAAGCGACCCCATGAAGACAATTTCTCTCATAAAAGCCACACAAAACTTACAACAAAACATGGGAATTTTTTTTTTTTTTACTTTTCTTTACTTGGAAAACAAACAAACAAATAATAATGAGAAATCATGGGAAAAATCTCGCGATAAAACGATGGTAGGGGCAGTTAAAGCTAGCCATAAGAACATGAAGGAATGTTAAATGTAGTAATTAAATGGAATGGCTTTATTCCTGTCTGTAGTAAACCACGTGCATTGATGCATCAAAGTTCGCAGAGATCAGGAAAAGCGGTTGCTTAAACGAGATTTTATATAGTTAGTTTCTGGAGGACTCCTTTTTTGTAAGAGTGAAAGAGACTTCACCGTCTCAATAAAAAGGCGAGATAAATGAGAGAGAAAGTTAGGATAGAGACTCCATAAGATAGAGAGTCAGTGAATGAGAAAGATTTGTGGGTGTGTTTATATATACTGCATTGGATCCTTCGCCGAAGTGGGTCGTCAAAAGCCTCTCTCCCTTTCCTTTTCTCTCTGTCAATCTCTTTCTCCATCAGAAACATCTTGAGAGCTAAATTCCAAAGAAAAGCTGCGAGAGAAATAAGAGAACAAACAAGGAAGATGGTGATGTGATGAATTAAACTCTTTGGCGTTTTCGTTCCTATATCGATATCAAGCTTCTTTCTTCTCTTTCCAGGCTTTTTTCGACTAGTACGAGTTCTTGTTTTTTCTTTTGTTTGCTTTCATTAATTAGCGCATGATCGTCTCTGATCTTTATTCTTTGTCCTTCTTGACCCTAGGTTAGTTTCTCTCAGTTTCAAGCTTAAGACTTCAGTTCGTTCTTGGTTTCTTTATACCATTTTTCTTATTTTCTTCATACACTACAGATTAAAACCATGGGCGAGTCCAATTCTGATAAGTTTCTCTCTGAGAAAGATCCAAGTAGTACCATGGAATTCAATTGCTCGGTTAGACCTCCTTTAGAATCCCAAAAAGATCAGTGCCAAACTGCACCTCTTCAAGATGCTGATGATGAGCCTCAACAAAAAGAAGAGAGAGTACCAAAAGAACAAGACCAGCAACAACAAGAAGTAGAAGATAAATACATGTTGGAGGTCTCCCCAGTGAAGTCAAAATTACCGTCTTTAGGAGAATTCAATGTTCATGAAGATGGTGAGGTTCATGAAAAGGGTGCGGTTCATGAAAACGGTGATGAAGAAAACAATGATGGGTTCAAGACTCCAACTTCTTTGGATCACAAAATTCCTAGCCTGCTCAAATGCCCACCTGCACCAAGAAGGCCAGGATATCTCCAAGCACCAAAACGAAAAGATAATATTCCCCAGACAATCCTACTTGATTTGACAAAAGAGATTGAGGCTTTGTTTCCTCCAGCTTTTCTTGCAGATCTAGGCAAGAAGATTAAGAAAGCCAGACAAGGAAGTGACTTCGAATGATATGATCATACATCATATATTTCTGTGAAGAACAAAGATTATGTTTTTTCTTCTTTTTTTTTTTAGTTCTCTTCCTTTTTGTGTGGACATTTCCACATGAAGATGGCATTCTATCTTCGGTAACAGTGATCGGTATTCTATCTTAGGTAACAGTGATTGGTATTCTATCTTAGGTAACAGTGTTCTCTCAATATCATCAATGCCATATTCAGCTTCATTTTAACATTTTCAGTTTCTGTTTATTCCTGTTCTTTTTCCTTTTTTTGGTGCTTTGTCACTGAACCCAGATCTAAGACTATATAACAACGTAGCAAAAGATCAAAGCTCACAAGTACAAATCATCATGGATTTAAGCCTTGGATTCTTGCTTTTTGGCTGCACCCCACCAAGTAGTTAAAAGATAGACTTTGGGTTCTCTCAAAGGTTTTTAGAATAAAATGAAAATGGAGTCCTTCTGATGATAGTGCTCAGAAAAATGTAGTGCATTGACTTTGTTAGTGCAAAGAAAATGGGGTTGCCATTGACTTTCCCAAGGGAAGCAAACATACTCCTTTGTTTTTACCAGTTGGGTGAGCACACCCAAGTGCGATATTCCCTCTGATGACAGAAATTTATCATGGCAGTAAATAGTAGAGGCCAGAGCCAGATGCCATCCCTAAATTCAAGGTAGTTTTTGCCCCTTCCACTGCCCCTTTTGGAAAGTACATGCCCTTTTGTTTTTTTTATTGTTTTACTGTTTTCATTCCTTTTCTTACAGCACGAAATGCGAGATGGCTCTCTTAGCATAGAATGTAGTAGGCAGCAGCTAGCCAAAGGAATTTGATCTAACCTGTCCAATGCAACAAACTCCTCTGTTTATCATTCAAGGCTGGGAATTTTTTGAAGGGTTGGTGGATAGTTAGATATAATATATGTACGGTAGAATGTTTTGAACTTCTAAGGTTTTCTTCTTTACTTTTTTCCAAAGAACCACACATGTTAATTCTGCTTCAAACATCAAAGATTCTATTCCTGGTTTAAGCTTGAATAAAGAATAGAAAGTGATAGTGTATGTTTTCTTTTGTAATAAAAAATTATCTCTTGGTTTAAGTTTGAATAAAGAATAGCAAACTGATAGTATATGTTTTCTTTTGTAACAAAAAATTATCTCTTGGATTATAATTTAAGAAAAGAAAGTAAATCTAAGATTTTTAAAACATATCTACATTACTCTTAATTTTTTTGTTAAGATAATTATACAAATTCAATAATATACTTAGAATATAATACCATTGGTTATTTGGCTAGTTAGCTAGTTAGATTACCATTTAGCTAGTTAACTAGTTAAATTACCATTTATATTGCAATATCATTAGCTAATTAAAATATAATATTATTGGCTAGTTAGATTAGTCGTTAGATTACTATATTTAGCTAGTTAATTAACTAGTTAGATTACCATTTGGATTGCAATATCACTAGCTAATTAGGATATAATATTATTTGCTAGTTAGATTACAATTTAGATTACAATATTATTAGCTAATTAGGATACATAATATTATTGGCTTGTTAGCTAATTAGATTACAATTGTTAGTTGATTAACTAGTGAAAATATAATACTATTGGCTGGTTAATTAGTTAACTAGATTAAAATATATATTGCTATCTAGTTAGAGTTAGATTATGAATAGAATTACTAGCCTTATATATATATATATATATATATCTCATTCATTTTTTTATAAAAAATAAAATTTCAGAATACAATATTTATTTTCTTGTAACAATTTTAATTAAATTTAGTGATTAATGTAATATTACATCTGATTGTATTTGGACCAAACAGGTTGGTTCCCTACTCAGATTGAGGCCAAATCTTATATGAGGAAATAGATGAATTTCTTAAATTTCCCAAAATGGATATTATATAATTGTAGAGTTTATTCATAACCCTAAAACAACTCTTACTAATATTTCCCCCTCTAAAACAGTAGATAATGAATACAAAGTGGAAAAATAACCAGCCAGGATAGAAGAATTCTCATCTTCCTTGAAACAACCTGAGAGTAGTAATTAAACTGCATAGTACAAAATGTGTGCTAGCTTTGGCATAGGGCTAAAAATATAACATGTGCAGCCAACATTCAAATCCTGACAGATAATCGGTCAGAAAAATTTCTATCCTTTTCTCCGGTATAAATGAATTGCTTTAATGAGATAGAGCCATGACTGGGGCCTGGAATATGGCTCTACTTAGCCCACGTCGTAACTTTGGAAAAAGGGTATCAGCCTGAGGTCAAGTACAAGGGAATTAACCTCCTTCAGGTGCAAAAGCCAGATCAGTTGATTCTTCATATTCTAGCCCATCAAAGTGGTAGCCTAACCCAATGAAATAAGCCAGAACAACTTTTGGGCCCGGTGGGTTGGACATTCCTCAACAAGTACCCCAAAACAAAAAGCTTTAGCTCATCATGAAAGCCTGACAGAAAATAAATACCGCTAAGGCCCCAGGCCCCCATGCCTGATCAGCCAGCACGCGTTGTTGCATGAATTCTGCTGAATCCTGTCATTATTGTAAATACAATTTTCCTTTAACAGAATTTAAGACTTGAATCTGCAATTCCTCCTCACTTTGGATTTGTAGAGTTGCATCAGAAAGGAAAAGATTTTTCTTACTCATATATCTTGTAACAGGGATCGGTTCGTGTTGTTCTTAGTAGGAAGAAGAAATATTCTCTTCATTCTGCAACGAATCTGGCAGAATCATAGCCAAGTAACTTCAAGATGCAAAAGAAAAAAAGAGCTGTTCTGGTCCAATTACTAAATCTTGCAACCTTGCAGAAACTGAACCATCTCACTCAAATCTCTTTCCAAAGTGAAAAATAAATAAATAAATAAAGAAATAGTAACACTTTTGCTGTAAAGCCCGAGGTGGTCCCTGTTCTTGTCTGCTGCTAGATCACAATTTCTGCATTTAATTAGACGAGCAGATTGTGGGAATTTAATACAGAAGATATGGTTTCCCTTTGGGTCATGACACTGCAGACACAGTGTAAACAGCAGTTCATTGGGTTCCTTGAATCCCATATCTTGGTGGGCTCTTGAAGTGAAAAGCTTGGGCTGACAACAGGGTTTTGTGGACCAAAGGAAAAGGTACATACTCGATTGAGATTTGGACAACTACACTTCTTTGACATATGCTTGTTATTGCCATCCACCAAGGCAAAAGTTGTCTCCTTTTCTTCCACCTCCTTGGATCCTCCTGGTCTCAGCTCATCGTGGAATTCTTAGATGACCATTTTACCCTAATAATTTTTTGCATGGTAAATTTCTTTTACATGTGAAGTTGAAACAATTTTGTATATATTTTTTATTAAAAAAATTGAATTCTACTCTCAAAACAAAAACGCATGCACCTACGTTACTAATTTTAGAATCTTCAAGCAGAGACATTTTGAAAATAGCATCATGAATCAAACTGTTGTACACTTTAATTTATGTGGAAGCATGCATGGCTACAAAATACAACTATAGCTTGATGATGGGTTTATGGTCGACTAGACTAGTAGAGAATGCTAAGGCAAAAAGATCAAAATTATACCAAGGAAATGGAAACTAAAAACGAAAAAAAGATAACAGAAGAAACTGAAGTTCTCTTGTTTTCTTTGCCTCCCTGTTTTCGTACACAAAGCTGGAAGTTTACAATATTATCGATGAGCAATGGCAAGCATTTTAGGGTCTTGGAGAACATAGTTAATTGCAAGTTGGGCATATAAGTAATTTCGACGGACAGCATCTGAACCTCCCGTGGACCTTTGCTTCTGATTAGTTTATTTTCCTCAAGGCACATAATGATTTTGTTTCTCTTTCTCGTCAACAAAACCAAGGAATGCAAGCAAAGAAAGAATGCTTCCAAATGATAAGACTCCTTGCTCATTTGTTGCCTTTTTTGACTATCTCTTCAGCTTGTTTTTACTCTGTCCTTTCACTCTCCCTCAAGTCATGTAAGCACTGTTCTTCAAAGTACTGTACATTTGAACCCCTATATAGAGTTATGTAGTTTACTTTACTAGCTCAAGTTCTCAGCAATCTATAGCTTTTTAACTATTTTTTTCTTGGTTTCAAATTTCATATCTCGTACTTGAGGTGACCATCGGTTTTTACTAAAGATCAATCAAACAAAAACATCCAACTTCAAAAGTACTTTGCCAGATACATGGCTCAACAGGTAATGCTTGTCTTCTCTCAGTTCTATAGTATATTCTCTCGTGGGTTGTCTCTCAGATTTTTAGTTCTCTTATCGTATAATTGTGGGTCTGTGTTTTCTTCTTATAATTTCTCTGATAATGTATCTACTTCTTTGTCACATTGTTTTTGTTTCTCATGATAGTACAGTTATGACAAGCTTATCTTTTTTTTTTCCCATCTTTTTAGTTCATTTTATTCTCTGCGATGTTGATTGCTTGGAGGGTTCTGAATCACATTTCTGATGATTTGATTTGATTGCAGGAAGAAGGTTGGCCCCTGGGATTGCAGCCCCTGAACGTGAGAGTTGGGCTGGCAAGAAACCATGATTACTCAGGATCAATATCATTCAACACTATACTCACTGGTTCTCCAACTTCCTCTACAGATTCCTCTTCAGATTTAGACACAGAGGTCAGTGGGAAACTACAGAAATTTTGGTTAAAATTTTTTTTTTGCTTACATTGGTCTTGTCTTTGGCGGTTGTCTTAGGTTTTTCAATTTTCATATCCCGAGGGTCCTAGTTCCATATGTCATGGATCATGATTGTATTGTACCTCTGTAGCCTTTTGGTGTTTTTCTGTTGTTTTCTTCATGCACAAATATACTTGGTAGTTTCGAATTTTTGCTGGAGAATAATGTTTTTTGATTTTTCTCTTCTTTATAATGTAATAAGTGTCTCAATTAACAATCAATACCCATTTGCAAGAACATTGATTGGTATCAATAAATCATTTTGCTGGGGGAAGAAAGTTTATATTAATGCAGCATTGAATTCCCCTTTTCTCCTACTCCATATAATGGCTTTTGACCAAGTTTGCTGGATGTTAGTTAAAATTAAAGGCTGAAAGACTCTTTCACTGGCTTTTGAGTTGTCATCTTGAGCCTGATTTGGTGCTTTCTACCATAGTAGTAGTAATATTTAAGTGGTATATGGTGCTTTTGCTCAGAGTCAAGCCTTCAAGTTGCTACCAGCTCATAATAATTGCAACTTG